CCTTTTTGGAGAGGGCATGAACCGCCATTGACATAAATGCAATCCCGGATCTCGTAGGCGCCCTGTAGGTCCCTAGGGAGCCATTAGAAAAATTACCAAAAATCACAATTTTCACTTGCGTTTTCGCTTGTTTTAAGCAAATTAAAGCACTCACTTATATCAAAACGCAGGAAACACTTGGAATTGTACTAAAATTTATAATTTAGTTATTAAAGTTTATATTAGCGATAATAAAAACAACTTGTGAAACCGCATGGCGTCAAAACGCCAACATTTAATTAAATCTTTTAAACAGGTGAAACCCTATTCAAAAACCTCTAAAAATAGTCCTAATGATTAATCTAAACCATTTCTCAGTGATGAGAGGTCTCGATTCATTTCATCGAATTTCAAATCTCTCTGTAACTTCAAAAACTGAAACCTGTGGACAGTTACGTAGAATCCCAGTTCTTTAATTTTACTTCTGATTTTGGAAATTCGAAATAACGGTGCAGATGTGATGACCTTCAAAAAAAATAGATGGCAACTATAATTAAAAATATTATCAGCCCATAGTTTTTTTTAAAACTCTTTCGTTTGACACTAATATTTCGATATTTCATTTATGTATCTTTCGTATAAGTAAAACAAATCCGACTTTTCAAACAGGTGGCAACCCCTTTAAAAGTATTTTCAAACTAAAATTTTCGCCTGGCATTGTTATACATATTCCAATTAACTGATGAATTAAATTGAATTTAATTTTTTAAGCACATGGCAACTCTCCTAAATACAGTTTAGAAATAAATTATTTTCAATCCATTCACTTATTAAATAATTTGAGCTTAATTTTTTCAACAAAAAAAAAACCAAGTGTTCTGCTTAAGGTTTTCTTAACACTCGTACTTTTGATAACCATATTTTAAAATTTCATGTAACTTTTGTATAATTAAACGAAATACCACTTTCAAAATAGGCGGCAACCTTCATAAAAATTATTTTCGAACTAAAATTTCCTTAAATATTTTTCGTCTGACATTGTTATAAAATTCCATGTAACTGATGAATTAAGTGGAAATTTATGTTTTAAACACGTGGCAATCCTCCTAAATATAGTTCTTAAGTAAAGGATTTTAAACTCATTTCCATTGATAACCATCGGTTTGTAATTTATTTAACTTATTAAATAAGTTTAGTTTAGCCCTTTAAACTGGGGCAACCCTCAAACACATCAAAAATGTTCTAAATTGTCAAAGTAAGTATTTCTTGAAGCTCTTTCATTTGACATCCATCGTTAATATTTCATATAAAAAATAGTTCAATTAGACTTCTCAAATAGGTGGCAACCCTATTCAAAATATTTTCAAACTACATCTTTTGTATGACACCCATATAGCGATATCTTATTAAGTTTCCAAATTCCTTTAATTGAAATTGAATTACATTTTTTTTAACTTGTGGCAACCCTCCTATACGTAGTTAAGTTATAAAGCCTTTTCAATACCGTTTCGATTGATACCCATATTTAATAATTCATTTAACTTTTTAATTAATTTGAACTTAATTTCTTAACAGGTGGCAACTTTTTTCGAAAAAGTAAAACCTTCTTGAACATCCACACCCTAATTTAATTTGGTACCTCACTTTTGAAATCGAACGGACGTTGCGGATCTGAGGGCATTGATTAGTAAATACCTTGAGTTTAATTATTTAACAGGTGGCAACTCTTTTCGAAAAAGTAAAACCTTATTGCACATCTACAGACCAAGCGCTTTAATTTGACATCTCATTTTTGAAAATGGGGCGAACGGTACAGATCTTTTATGCTGCACAAAAAATGCCTTCGCGTATTATATATATAGATATTTCAACAATATGTAACAAAATCACAAACCGATACGAATTTACAGCTAATAGTTATTTACGTTGAACTGTCAAAATACCGAATGAAGAAGAGGCGAGTGGTTAACCCACAGTATTTTTCCGAAGAACCCTCACTACGTAGAATTCTCCTTTCCGTGTTGCCGAAGAAGAGGGGCAGAACACCTTTCATGCTTAGGTCTTTTCCGTTTGGTTGGTTGGGTGCTTTTTCGTTTTCTTTTAAGCTCTTCTTCGCACTGAGCGTTTCACAGTTCATTGAATGAAATCGTTATTGCCTGTTAATCGTTGGCACGGAAATTTTGTAAAGCGTTTTTAATTAATACATAAATTGCAGTAATATTAAAAAATATTCCTAAAAAAGGTGTTTATATGAGAGACAGGTGAAATAATAGTGATTATGAATGTTTATATTTCTGCTTTGAGCCTTTTCCAAGCGAAAAAAGCAGCAAAACGCAAGTGAACAATGTGATTTTTGCCCATTTTTGTAAAGGGTCCCTAGGGTCTAGCTTGCGAGAGAAAAAAGCAGAACGCCAGCAAGATTTTTCAGCATGTGAAGACAGCCAGTTAAACGAATGAAACTTTCTGATTATAATCGGTTATTCGATTAATCGTGCCGTGACTAGACCATGAACCAAAAATACAAGATCACGCGGGCAGGAGACTAGCCCGTTAGAATCGCATTTATAGGGAATTTACATGAGGCGGTTTTTCAGGCGATTTTTGTTGAAAGCAACAATCGCCTGGTGTAAACAGCCTTTCAACTAATCGCTTAAAGTGTGTTTGCATTGTTCAACTTTGCGTTCAACATTTGCGTTCAACTCAGCGCAGGGTTGCACGAAAAAAAAGTTGAATGGCTAAAAATATCAAAATATGAAAAAATATCAAAATATTCGCCATAAAAAGGTGTTTGCATTGTTTAACTTTGCATTCAACTTTTGGTTGAATGGCCTTTCAACTAATCGCTTTCAACAAAGTTGGTCGCCAGCCAACATTTAGCCATTCAACTTTTTTTTCGTGCAACCCTGCGTTGAGTTGAACGCAATTGTTGAACGCAAAGTTGAATAATGCAAACACTGCTTTACAATGAAGTTGGTCGGCTCCCTACTTTCGTTCAACTTTTGGTTCAACTAATCGCCTGTGAAAGTTGAATCATGTAAATTCCCTATTAGGAAAAAAGTTGAACGATTTTAGAACGTGCTGCTGATTTGCGTCGAGCCAAACGAAATGGGCATATTTATGCTGATATTTCTGTGCAAATGGCCGGGAAATTCAGCGCGCAGGACGTGCATACGAAAGTGCGCAATTTGACCCAAAAATATAAGTAAGTTCTTCTATCAGGGAATGTTTAGTTATTTGCCCACTGTTTTTGGGTTAGTGGGCGGAGGAGCTGGTGTGGTTCTTAATATCCCACCCATTAGAAACAGCACAGTTTACACTTTGTAAAAAGTCAAATCTGACCCCTCAAAACTTTCCACAGGCCCCTGGGGAACTCATTGAAAATGGCCTAAAATTAGTATCTTGACTCCGGGAATGTAAACTGGGTAAAAAGCATTTTTGTGCGGAACACCTTTCCGTGCTTAGAAACCTCATCAGTCCAACTCGGGCTACGCTGACCACAGTATTTTTGCATATAACTTACTTCGAAATTCACAAAAAAGTGCATATTTCAGACCAAATTGATTAATAAATGAGTGAAATCATTGGGAAAATAATTAAACCGTACCCCTTCTATCAAATAAATTAGTGCACCATATTAATATATACGTACATAAATTTGCAGGGATGAGAAAAAGAATGTGGGTGCGTCAGGTGGCAGTCCATCAACATGGAAGCATTATATGGCAGTACACCAAATTATTGGGGGAACCGCTGTTAACAATGCGGAAGTGCACGAGTCATTTTTATTAGTATGTATTTTCAGTTCACTTTTATTTTGTTTTCCAAAATATTTACATATGTAAATACATTTCCTAGGACACAATACTTAATGAATCCAGCCAGTCGGTAGTAGCACCATCTCCATCGCCTCCGTTAGCACCGTCAACACCTTCACCATCGCCATCCATGGAAGCAGCATCGACGCCCTCGCCAGTACCACTGCTTTCAGTATCAGCTGTGTCGCCTGGTGATTCATCTGCACCTGCTTCTTCTGGAAGAAAAAGAAAACGTTCGGGAGAAGTGATCAGAATCATGCAGGAACACACAGAATTGCTAAGGAGTGTTGTGCATGATACCAAGGTGCTAACAAATGAGGTTGTTACTGCCATAAGGGAGCAAAATGACACCTCGAAAGAGTTTAAAAGTTAATGAAGGTTTTAATAGATAAGATTTAGAAAATAAGTGTACATACACTCGTCGTAATAGCTATAAATCCACCACACATTGAAAAGTTTTACCCACTAACATTTTTATTATTTAATTTTTTTTTATAAAAATACATGTCTATTCTTAAGCAAAAACTGTACAAATCCACATTTCAAATAGTAGATAACTTATGCAAAAATGCATCTATATGTTCAGCTTTTTAATACTGTTTTTTAGAGAGATTTGTAGTATGCAGTTTTATAGCCTGTCAAATTTTATTAAAACAAAGTGCAAGTGTGAAGTTTCTGAAAAATCCGCTGACTTCAGGCAATTTTTTTGTTTTCGGTTTTGGTAATTTTCCTCCATACAAAGTATGTTTGACATTTTTTTATATGAAGGAA